GACAAAAGATATAAATTTTCGAATTGCAAGAAATTGCAAGATCAAAAAACGCAAATGAAGGAGCTAAAAAGTGACATTTTTCAATTTTTGCCCATTTTATTCAATCGCGAATATCTCGTAAACTAAAAGAGATAAATAGGATCTGATAGCGGCGTCTTAATCTACGGACTATTCTCTATAAGATAGGATAGTTAAACGGAAATCGGAGAGATGAAATTTTAATTCTTAAGAAAAAATTGCCAAGGGGGGGTGCTGGATAATTTATTTCGAGGATTTTTGACAATTAATATCTCTTAAACTAAAAGCGATAACAATCAACAAATTGCAGATTATGAAAGATTGGAAAATTCTCTATTGGATTATAATATAAAATAATTAAATATCGTAAAGGAGAAAGTCGAGAAATGTGATTAAAAGTGCTAAAAATACGAGTCACTTCTACCGCTACCTTTGTACGGCACCCTGACCACGAGTCACTTCTACCGCTAACCTTGTACGGTGCCCTGAACACGTGTCACTTCTACCACTACCCTCATACGGTGCCTTCAACATTGTAACCCCGCGTTCGCGTGTTATACAAAAAAAAACTACAATTCCTAGCGCAACGAGTACTACGGCGCACACACACAACTTGCAATATAACTCGCGTTACGGAATTTTCTCGCAATAACTTTCTATACAGAAAGATACAAAATTAAATTCCCCATCTAGGAAAATTAATTTGAACTAATTGTAACCCTGAGTTCGCGCGTTATACGAAAAAAATTACAATTCTTAGCGCAACGAGTACTAAAGCGCACACACACAACTTGCCATATAACTAGCGTTACGGAATTTTCTGGCAATAACTTTCTATACAGAGAGATACAAAATTAAATTCCCCATCTAGGAAAATTAATTCGAACTAATTGTAACCCCGCGTTCGCGTGTTATTCGAAAAAAAAACTACAATTCCTAGCGCTACGGTACTACGTACTACGGCGCACAAACACAACTTGCAATATAACTCTCGTTACGGAATTCTTTCGCAATAAATTTCTATACAGGGAGATACAGAATTAAATTTCACATCTAGTAAAATATTTCGAAATAAATGTAACACCGCGTTCGTGTGTTATATTAAAAAACTACAATTCCTACCGCAACGAGTACTACGGCGCACACACACAACTTTCAATATAACTCGCGTTACAGAATTTTATCACAATAAATTTCTATACAGGGAGATACAGAATTAAATCGCGACTAATTTAAATATTCTTTATAAAATAAAGTATTAAAATCAAAAGTATGAGAATCGGAAAAATAAAGGGTGCAAAAAATTCATAACAAAAAAATACAAGAGGCGGTACGGCCTCCTTTCCCAGTTTTTGTTTTCAATTCCGAATAGCACAATTTATATTTTATATTTTCTGAATACGACTCACTACCGCTACCTTCGAACGGTGCCCTGAACACGAGTCACTTCTACCGCTACCTCCGCAGGGTGCCCTGAACACGAGTCATTTCTACCGTTACCCCCTACGGTGCTCTGAACGCGAGTCACTTTTACCGCTGCCCTTGTACGGTGCCCTGAATGTGCGTCACTTCTACCGTCACCCCCTACGGTGCTTTGAACACGAGTCAATTCTATCGCCACCCAGCTACGGTACACCGAATGAGACTCAACTAAATCAACAAAAAAATTAACAAAACCCCTATTGCGCTATCAGAATCCGATAAAAAATTTGAACATTTCACAAAGGTTTTCCGCACTATGATCCGTTTTCCATATTACTATTAAGTGAAATATATACGCCCCCCTAAATTTCGGGCTATTGCAACACGCAGGTGAAATGTGATAAAACATTTAACCGAATTATAATTATATATAATTTAACCTTATTTTAAACTTACCAATGCAGCGCTCATCAGCTTGCAAGGGAACAGCAAGTACTGCAATTAAAAGAAAACATAAGTTAAAACAGAAACATTTCATACAGTAAGATAATATTATATTCACACATGGGAGAAAACAAACTTTCTGTGCAGAGTATCACAATGGTCAGATAAAAGTAACTTACTCAAGCACGAATATGTTTCCGGTTGATCTAGCGGCCGACCACGTCCCACAATAACCGAAATATTTGATTTGAAATATAAACATCAAAAGTTAGCAAAAAAAGCATTTATGAACATTAAACGTACAATTACTTATTAAGAAAACACTGCAGATGCATATTACAACTAAGTCAATTGATGACCGAATATAATGCAAACTTTGAAAATAGAAGTCTGATAAAACGAAACGCATTGCGTGATATACGTCTGGATACGCCAGAGACCGACCCGAAACATAGCAATCCAACTGCAATCCAACAATAGAGCATGCCCAAAGTGCGCACGCAAGGATGCGGCAGTTCACAATAAGACTCAATAAGACAATAGATGCGCAAAGCCAGCGCGTCGATGCCAGGTGACCTTGTGCGCGAATTGCAATAGATGCGCAAAGCTGGCGGCGCGTCGATGGCACGCGACCATGTGCACGAATTGCAATAGACACGGTACCTGTGATAAGAACTGAACTAAAATGTGCTGCATGCGACAGCGCGACGAGAATCGTTCGCGTAGCATCTCGCACGGCGAATGCGATAAAAAAGTGGTTTATACACAAACGCTGATATTCAAAACGAATACAATTCTACTTTATGATTGTTAGTTCATGCTAGTGAACTAAAATTTAAATCAAGAAATTATGATTTTTGATTTGAGTTTTATTGAAGCATTTATTGAAAAAAAGATGTCCGCAAAATATATCAATTTTCTAATTGCAAGAAACCAGGAAAACATAGACTATGAATGATAAAAATTTTACTTACAAGTGCATCGAGCACCGCAAATCAGATATGAGTAGATACTGAAATGTTCTTCATAATTATTTAAATTAGTATTCGTACCAGGTAACACATTGAACCAACGAGTTGTGCAGAAGTCAAAAATGGTTCGCACAAGTCCTAAATATTATTTATAATCACACACAAAGTCTGCCGGCCGACGTCCGTCGACAACCTATCAGAAATCCACGCGAAAATGTAATAAACACACAAAATATTGAATTCCGAAGATTACATACGCGATAAATATTTACCAAATGACCAAACACGGCAATTAACACTAAATTCAATAAAATATAACGCGATATGCCGAATTTACAACGAGAAACACGAATACGGAGTATTTTTATCTGCCGCACGAAGTAAGAGCTGCGCATCCCAAGTGTGCACGTCGACTTTCACTCGCAGGAATATTTTTAGTTATAACATGCATCGTTGCGCTACCTGAGAATACTTTATTGTACCTCCAGAAAATACACAGCGTTTCAAAAACTGTGGCGTATATATGAGGCAGTGAGCGATTGCCTATGTATCAGTGAGTGGTCACGCACTTAAGTGGCCGTGTCCGTGTATCACACGTACACGAGAATGCGCATGCACCACCCTCTCTAAATAAGTAGCAATTTTTACACATAACTTAAAATTTCAAATATAGAAGTCAAGAGGATATACTTATTCAAAATAAATTAATCTAATTATATTATTATTATAATTTTTATTATATTATTAATTGATAGTTTATATAGACGATTTTCGTATCTATCATCTAAACTAAAAGAGATAGCAACCAGAAAATTGCTGATTATGAAAGATTGGAAAATTCTCTATCTGATAAAAATATAAAATAATTATATACTCAAAAATAAAAGGTCAAAAAATGCCACTAAAAGTACAAAAAAGTGACATTTTTCAATTTTTGCCCATTTATTTAAATCGCGAATAACTCGTAAACTAAAAGAGATAAATAGGATCTGATCGCAGCATCTTAATCTACAGACTATCCTCTATAATATAGGATAGTTAAAACGGAAATGTGAGAAATGAAATTTTAATTCTTAAGAAAAAATTGCCAAGGGGGAGTGCTTGATACTTTTTATCGACGATTTTCGATAATTAATATCTCTTAAACTAAAAGCGATAGCAACCAACTAATTGCTGATTATGAAAGATTAGAAAATTCTCTATCAGATAAAAATATAAAATAATTATATTCTCAACAATAAAAGGTCAAAAAATGCCACTAAAAGTACTAACAAGTGAAATTTTTCAATTGTTGCCCATTTATTTCAATCGCGAATAACTCGTAAACTAAAAGAGATAAATAAGATCTGATCACAGCGTCTTAATCTACGGACTATTCTATAAGATAGGATAAAACGGAAATCTGAGAGATGAAATTTACAACCAGAAAATTATTCATTACGGAAAATTGGAAAATTCTCTATTAGACGGAAACTTAAAATAATTTCATTTAATGGCGCAAGAGGTCGAAAAACGCGACTGATAGTGCTAAAAATTGAAATTAATCAAATTTTGACGATTTATTTTAATTGCAAAGATCTCCGTTTTCCATATTATCATTAAGTAAAATATATACGGCCCCCCTAATTCGCGAGCTATTGGAACACGCAGGTCATAAGACATTTGACCGAATAATATAACTTAATAAAAACTTACCAACGCAGTGCTCATTGGATTGCTAGGGCACAACAAGTACTGCAATTAAAAGAAAACATAAGTTAAACTAAAAACATTGCATACAATATAGGTAATATTATATTCATACATTGGAGAAAACAAATAATCTGTGCTGAGTAGCGCAAGGTACTTACTCAAGTACGAGGGGACCTCCTAATGACGGAAAACATCATGGCAACAATATGCAATTGGGATGTAAACATCAATCGCAAACATATAAAAATTATGTATTTTAAAACATTGCAGATACATGTTACAACTAAATAGTCAATTGATGACCGAATACAATGTAAATTTAGAAAATAATAGTCCGATAAAACGAGACGAGTCGCGCGAAATACGTACGTCTAAATACGCCAGCGACCGGCACGAAACTGGCTGCAATCCATCGATAGCGCAAGCAACGATGCGACAGTTCCCTATAAGACAATGTGCCTGCAGCATGGACTCCGCAGGTAAAAGCAATATATACGCAAAGCGGCCCGCCGTTACCTGCAATCACAACTAAACTAAGACGTGACAACGTGCGGCGTAAGGGAATGGCAACGACGACCCACGGGCATTCGATAAGAAAGTGTAAGTTGTGTTCAAAACAAATTAATCAGTAATTATACTTCAGGAGTCACCCAAGGGTTTGCTTGCCTGCTCTTCAAACATCAGTCAAACATGATCAGGTTCGATACCGCCGCACAAAACACTGGAATCCCAAGTGGAAGCAACTCCGCCGTCAAAAGGTTATCAAAGTAGACCTTCCGGACTTCAATGAAAAATGGGACGATCTAACAGAGGAACAGACCCGATCCAAACTCAAAGAACAAGGCTTATTACCACCACGTCCATGGCTGGAAAGACCATTCTTTCTGAGTTCAACTGGTGGTGTATTTGAGGCATATGTGCCTCCTGAAGGTGATGGAAAAGTTTCGCCAATCAGTGTACAAGGTGCCAAACAGTCCATACAATTTCTTGAGAAAAAGACAAAAACTATGATGGCAATTAGAAAGATACGCACGTTTGATGAAGATTTTGACACGCCGGAATTCTGCAAGCAAGCTGAAGCAATATACATCAAGTCACATGAGTGTCTTGCAGAAAATGGTGACATTGATAATATTATTGACTATGTCACTGAGAGAGCATACCCTGAAGTTGTTCACAACTCAAAGGGAAAAACAATCAGATGGAAACACTTGAAGAATATTGAACTGCCTCGAGTGGTTCATGCTAGATGCACTGATATTGTCAGCAAAGAGAATGTCTTTGCTCAACTTACTGTTCGTTTCCACACACAGCAAATGCTGGCGATTTACGATCGATTCGGTCGGTTGATGCACGGTAGCGAGATTCTGGCAAAGGATGTTCTGGAATACGTGGTATTCGAGAAACACTTGGCAAACGAGTACGGCAAGTGGAGAGTTCACTATAAGATTATCCCGGATTGGATGCCACCGCGCGAACCATCAGAGACGACTTACAAGAAAATTGTAGCACCGGTTACTGAGACACCAGAGAAAGTCGAGGCTTTAGAAGATGGGGTTAAGAAAGAGAAGATCAAGGAAATCGCCGCGCCGGCGCAGTAAACTTATATTGTTTGTAGATAGTTTTGAATAATAGAATAATTTGAGAATATAAGAGTTTGTACAAGGATCACCGCTTTTGTTATATTGTTATTTAAGCAAAATAACACAATGTTTCGGATGTCGCTACTCTCTTTTGGTTTTTGGTAAGTAAATCTACTAACACATATATTAGTTATTAGCGTTAATTTTTATATAAAATAATAATTTATCTTGCTCTCATATAAAATACATTTTGGTAGTCGCCATTTTGTCACCGGAGGCAACTTCAATCTACTAGTCAAATCAAATAAAAATCTCACGTCATTACACAAAGCTACTAGTTGGTTGCTCCAAGTAGGAACATTCTTTTTGTGCACAACAATATTATCGCGCACCTTCAATTGGAGGGCTTTATTGGCACGATTTTCGGCTTAGGCGGGAGCGGCGGCGGCTCTACTCTAACAACATTACATGCACTAGGGACTCGCTCACTAGGAGTATGATCAGGTACAGGTATACATTTAAAAGGTGACGACAGACTCAATGCGCCATTGACGTTATTCTGATTCTCATAGTCTGAATGTAGCTCGAGCTTGAGATTCTTAGCGGTGACAGACACGTTATTCGTACGCTCTGGTTTCGCCGGTATGATTTGTGTCGCATGTCTGGCACCAACGAGGCGCTCGTTCTTAAGAAAGTCCGGCATAGTGTAATTGATCTTCGTGCCTCGTTGATCGTCCAGTCGGCCACGCTGTGCCCGATTAAGGCCTTCGTATAAATCCTCGCTCTCCGAGGTGTTCTGTAGCATGACACCTACTTTGAGCTTAGCGATGAGAGGTTTCTTAGCGAAAGGATTTTCATCAGCGACAATATCTTCAATACTGCTGTGTGTCGAGGCAGAATTCAGTTTCGACCTCCCTGAGAGTTTCTTCTTCCTATTACGTTCAGAGTCGCGCTTCATGAAACGCCCCACCATATTGGAGCTGTGTTCGGAACCCCAGTCTTCACTCTATAATAAATATTTGATTAATAAATTATATCAGTCAAAATATGTTCACTGAAAAACTTACTTTGACTGACTCAGTGTGAGCCTTTTTTACTTCAGACTTTTCCTGCAGGATATCTTCATACACTCGATTGGTGATTTCTTCCAAAGTAGAGGGCGTTTCAATTTTCGGCGCTTCCTTCAATTGCACAATTATTCTTTCATTGTCAAAGGAGGTGACCTGAAGGTGTATGTTGGCTGGTTCATTGTTGAACGAAACTGTGACTTGTTCCAAGATGTAGGAGTATTTTTCTAGGATGGGGCGCAGTACTTCGACTAACAGTTTAGTGCTTTTCGACTTGACAGCAATGACCTTCTTATTGGGCAAATTGAGTTTAAAGCAAACGCGTTGCTCAATGTCCACCTCACATCCAGCTAGTTTTAACGCCGATTCGCTTATATTTAAAGCCTGCAAATTGATAATCAAACATGATTCTTGGACGCCGGTTGTTTGAAGAATGATAAAGATTACCTTGGTTTCTTTATTTGTGTAAACAGCAAACGCAGAGTAGACAATGCCTCGCTTCTCGAGCAACCTGGTGACTAAATCCTCGATTGTCTCGTCCTGTTTGAGTTGCGTCATTGTGGACGCGCCATTGGTGAGCTTGATGCGACATAGCGGGTGTCTGCCGTTCGCAATTCGCTCATCGTTCACCTTACTTATATCCTGCAAGCAACATCATACGTCACATTCAATTCAATGCAATCGCATCGTTTATCACAAGTGATTATATAATAAAAAAACAGGGAATAAATAAATAAATATGTGATAAGGACAGGAAATATGAAATGTGTGCATTAGTGTTAATGTGTGTTTTATTATATTAAAGTCAAATGCTAATACTGCTGAAACGTTTCTCCAGTTTTTTTCTTTTCTCTTTTGAAATAGCTCTCAACAAAATTTCTTTTAAAGATTTAACTTCTCCTTGTTTCGTGGGTAAAGCATGATCATTGCTTGTTATTTCAGTTATGGTTGGAAGAGTGTTAGTTTTCAATCCATGATTATCATGTTCATTGTTAGTCGGTGTATATGTACTACGTGCACGCTGTTTTCTTACACTATTAGATGATATTCCAATGTCCAACGACGTCAGTGACGATTTACTGCTGCTGAAATTTTCGTTCACATCGTGTTGGAGTGGTTTGGGCTCATCACCGCACTCCTTCGACTTGGAACGATTTTTCCGATGCCAAGGAAGCAGTGATTTCCGGCGGCGATCTTCAGCGTTAGAGAGAGAACGCTTGGGTTTCGCCGAGGTGATTTGCAGATTCAAATTCGGATCCAGTTTGTAATCTTCACCCTTGCCGGCAAGGCACTGCTTGTACAAATCGGATTTGAGAAAACGCGTATAGCTGTCGAATTTCATTAGGTTGAAAATCTGTTTCTGCGCGGCGGCAAAAATAGTTGCGTTGACATTGTGCAGGTTTTGTTCGGCGCATTGGCGAGCTTTGGAGTCTATGTTGACCGCTTCGCCGGCGCCGAGTCGCAAGTGTTGGTGGAAGATGCGTTGCGCTTCGGCCACACGCTCCGGAGTGGAGGTGATTTTGCGGAAGCGTTCGCATGCTGTCCAGAAATAGATGTTTTCAGCGCTGAATTCTTTTTTTAGAAACTCCTACAATAACAAAACTTATTAGACACACTTTTCAGATTTTTTCTTGAAAAACCTACAGCAAATGTGTGTAATCCCGCAGGACATTTGAGTAATTCCTCGAAGGAAGTCGCCCACGCCGCTGGACCATCTCCGCACGCCTTGACTATGCAATTATCCTCGCACTGTGAACAAACAGAAACCCAATGTAAATAAACGCCAATGAAAACAAACACAAACCAGCCGGTCAACAAACAACAAAAACAAAAGAACCAAGATTTCACACAAAAAAGCAGCTAAAGTGTTAATTCTACATGGAAATCCCCTCACTACTACACATCCAACAAAATATTCACACAATATTTGCACGTTTGACGTTAATAAACAAAACACGTGCAGGTTTAGAGAAGGAGACAATGTGAGTCATGCTTTGTGTCCCCTTTTCTCACGTCACAATTCCTCGAATATCAAAGGTTGAATCGAATCATGCACGTCGTTCATATCATCGTCATCATCCGATTATGTTATATTTGCATAGTGCGATCAGTTGCGGTGTGCTGTGTTTCAAGTGTGAATTGTATACCTTCGAGTCGCCGTCCAATGCCGCCACCGACTTGGGTCGATTATTGCGTGCAAGACGCTGCGAACCAATGCGCCGGAATGAGTTGTTGAGCCGCCGAAACGGAGGCCGCAACGCCACCACCAGCCCCTGCCCAAGCTCTGCGCCTTCTCTGTACGCAGACACAGAAAAACAAAAACCACCATGAAGCAATAGGGAAAATTAAAATTGAATCAGGGTACAGTCAGGAAACAGCCAGTTAAAAGCAGTTAATTTTGTTTAGTTACACAAGCTTCACGTTTTACAATAAAATTGTCACTTTCAACCGTTTCCAAGAAGGCTTAGCTTCTTCTATTACCCCTAACGATCATTTAACGAGTATAATCTTTAGTAGAAATACCAATTTCTCCACTGGTTTTACTTACACGAGTGTCACAATTGTGTTTGCGCACATTTCGGATACCACGCAAACTAGCATACGGCCGCATAAAGCTGCGCTGTCGCGTCAAACCACCCCCGAAACAGTTCATAACACGCTCCGAACGTATAAAAACTCTACGCACAAGAAACTCACGTAAATACCACACCGCGTCTAGATTTGCCAGAAGCCTGAATCATACTGAACTACAAGTAAACCGCCGACGATTAAATGACATTGAGTTATGTAGTCGTAGTTATCCCTTTTCGAATAGCAAGGCGCGACTCATCCGCAGCGCCCGGCGCCGTGTCGACGTTGTGAATCACGAATGAAAAATGAATCAAATGATCTCTCGGCAACATTCACTCAACAACTTTGAACACACTATAATCGCCACGAATTCTCCGGCTTATCTTGCGAGTTCCGCACTCGTTCGGAAATGTGCGATAATCACTCTAGTCGCAATGAGATTACAACTTGTGCGACTGCGGTTTTACGATAATTTAAAAACAAAAAAACACTTTACAATGGGTTTTTAACGCGTACGCACGCAGAATGACTGGGCTGGACTAAATTTCGTTAGGTTTTTAGTGCGTCGAAGCGCTTATAAAATTGAATATCTAGTGAATTATTGCGAACGCTCGCAGAAATGTAAACTTTCTATCAAATTGTGCGCACAGCGCGCACGCTCGTGTGCAACTTGTGTAACATCAACATTAATATTATTGTAAACATTTCAACATCGTTTCGATACGCAGGATCGTACACAAAACTCACCGAAATATCATGGCTTTTTATTGATTCTTTTTTATATTTCAACACTTCTAAATCAAAATATGGCACTTTAAAATTCACAAAAAAAACTTTTTGATAAAAGTTCACTGTTTAATCAATAAATTAAAGCTTTTTGTACATCGCGACTGTGTCATGCACACTGGAAGACTAAACCACAACTGTTTGCAAACGCGGAACCGACAATAACTACAACCGCACACATCGTAAGCAACAAGCTTACTATGCTGCGTGTAATGGCATGTGTTTCACTCTCGGTTGGTCGTCGCGGTGCGCTGCACTTGTACGTTAAAAACCGCCTGCGAGTCACAACGGCAAGTGCATTAAATTCCCCGTTTAAGAAGGCTGAGACTGTCTCACAGCCGTTACAATGTTGAGCACGTGAAATAAAAGCTTCCCCTCGTTTAATTTATAAGTTAAGCGCATGCGCAGGTGACTTGTAGACTTATTAAGGGTGTCGCAACAGGTGAATTCATCAATACACTTGCTGTGCTGTTGGACACCTGTAGTAACGATTTTTTAACGGACAAATATTTCGCGGCTATTTTAAAACGTAAAAACAAGGAAATAAACTTGAAATCAGCAAAAATGCAGTGTTCTGCATGCTATTTCCCCACACAAAATGTTGAAAGGAAATGTTGATTAGTCTTAATTGATTTAATCAATTAGTGCACGCATGCACTCTCCTCCTGCACTCACTACAAGCAGATGTATCTCTGCTGGTATGTTTCATGTATGCCTCTCACGTTCATTAAACGTTCCGATCCGTTCGATTAGCGTACAATGAGACGAAATGATACGCAACGAGATCCCGCATTCAACCGGTGCTGACGTCCAAGCATCATTCTTATAATAATCTGCTAGAAATAGACACCGGAGTTATGCGGACGTGTACGCGAAGAAATACACAAAAGTAATCCCATTGTGTTG